GTGGAACTTCCATTGTTTGTGTCCATGGCTCTTTAGGAAAGTCTAGGAGACAAGATCATGGTAATCAAAATAGCATCAGCCCTAAGTAGAAATAAAAATCTCTGTAGTTTGCCATGAGTATCCCAAATTCAGTTGTTGTGTGCGCTCTCCCATTTGGAACACCTTTGTTAACACTTTGCTGTGATCATTGCTGAAAGCCTCTCTGTGTTTACTCATAACTAGTGGTTTTAAAAATAATAGGTAAACCCAATCACACTGAATTGTAAATCATTGAAAGGGTTTAATTATGCCATGACACCTATAGTTCTGTGTATTTTGGTTAAGTAATGAATCCATAAATTTAAGGATATTACTTAAGATTGGGATACATTTGGAAGAGTTGTTCCTTGTTGGAATTATGACATAAGCATACTTGGTTATGACAAATTTTTGCCTTATCCAAGATGTGGAATTTGAGGTAAAAAGTTAAATGACCCATTTTCTAGGGATAAGCTCCACTATTTGGTAGCAGGATCACTTTCCATATTCACTTCCAAATGTGTTCATTCTAGCCATTATCATCACCATCACCACCAATCCCTTCCTTGTTTTCCCTCCTATTCAACATTATAGACACTGCTGTTCCTGTATAAATTTTGGTGTTCCCCACTCTACTGACCTTTTTTGATGCCAGGAAAAATCATCTTTCCTATAAGCCTTCATTTCCATGTACAGAGGACCCGTGTTTCTTGGAATGCCTTTCATGACTGCTCTATAGCATTTAAATAGCCTTACCGATTTGTTGCAGAGTTAAAAATTGAACTAATTCCAGAAGCCTCTGGTTACCACATATACACAGCAACCACCTGTGTCAGCTCCTACTCACCTGGCCATTCTGCAAAATTAGCAAGGTAGGTAACTCGAACAAGAAGCAGCTCAGTAAACAATCAGTGAATTGTTTTTCTTCATGGAATTTGCCAATTATATGAGTCAATCCTCTGCTTGCTTCAGAACTCTATAGATAAAAGCTCATTTCAATTCTAAGAGAATACAGAAAAGGGATAAGGAGCACATACATTTCACTATTTCTAAATACTTTACCATATCATTAAATAGATGGAATGTTGATGACTGAATTAGTTTATAAATATTTTTTAGTTTTTATTTTTTGGTTTATAAATATTTTATGCATAGAATTTTTGACTATGAGTATCAGACATAGGGTACTTTATATTCATACTGTGTTTGGGACCAAGAAATAACAACTTTAGTTGCTGTCATTACAGTAAAATGAGGTAAATTAAATTGTCTATAGTATATGATTTTCATAAGCAGTTTAGTTAGAACATGAAAATGTTATAATCATGTAAAGGAACTGTTATTACCAAGTAGTATGAGATAGGGATATAGTTTGTCTCAATACAACTTGGAAATTTAATTTAATTAATGAATATGAAGTTTTTATGTGGTTGGATGTCAGCTAAGTTGGGCATAGTGCTTAAGATTCTGGACTCAGAGCTTGGTGTCAAACCCCAGCTTCACTACATGGAGGTAATGTGTCTCTGGGCAGTTTTGTAATTTTTTTTACACCAGCTTCTTTATATGGTCAGTGAAGATAATAATATTCCTCAAAGGGAGGTGGTGAGGGTTAGTATTTGTAAAAACACTAGGAATTGTGTTTGGTTCATATTCATTCTCAAAATTAAAAATTGTACTCACCTACCCACAAATTATTTTTATTCTATTCACTCCTTCCTGTCTTCATTTTTCACACTGGTGATTTTACCATGATGGTCTAGAACTAAACTGGAATGGTTAAACTTTTATGTTTGCCTAACTTTTTAAATGTACAGACACTCATGTACACAAAAGTGACCACAAGCATGATGTACATACTCAACTGATAAACCCAGAGGCAGGAGAGGACAGAGGACTTAGCTCTCAACGGGTGTAGATTACAAAATGCACTGGGCATTCTTTGACCATGTAAGGTTGGGTTAGTGTTGGGAATTAAAAGGCCATAGAATTTTAGAGTTGAAATAGACTCAGAAAGCATGATCCAGCCTTCTGCCCTACAAAGGAGATCTTCCACAGAATGTTCACACAACTCCTGTTTTCAGAGTTTCATAGCTGTCCTTTAATCTGTGCCTCATCCCCACTCCTTATGTTGAGCTCAGGGATACCTCTTTAACATCCAGGCACTGGCTCTTTTTCTTTTTTTTTTTCTCTATTCTGGAAATAACATGGAATAAGTCAATTCAACATGACTTCATTATAAAGAACAGTTTTATTATACAACAAAACATAGATACACAGAAAAACAAAAGCTTGATGAGTTCAGGTGAATATTCTTGTAACTAACAGGCAGGTCAAGAAATAGAATCTCCAGGAACTTCTCTTCATGACTGGTCCTGATCATTGCACTTCCCTGTCCCTCAAACTATCCACTATCCTGATGTTTATAGTAATCACCTAGTTAAAAAAACCAAACAGGGGCGCCTGGGTGGCTCAGTCGGTTAAGCGTCTGCCTTTGGCTCAGGTCATGACCCAGGGTCCTGGGATCGAGCCCTGCATCAGGCTCCCTGCTC